CATCATAGCACATTGATAATGCACACAACGTAAAATTTTGAATCAGCTTCAATAGAAGCTCTTAAAAGTGCAGACTGCAGAAGGATGACATCTAATAAGTCAAAAAGCCATTCAACTACTAATGAAATTATGCTCTTCTACACGCCAATTCTTCTGGCTAAGATTACTCCCATTGCTTCTTAAAGGAACCAATGCTCTGAAGGAACCTCCCACAATTTCAATAGAAAACTATTACAGGTCAGGGCCATGATCAACTAGATGATTAGTGCGGAACTGATTAGCACATAAGTTTTGGCTAAAGCTTTTACATATATGCAAAAATAAATCCCATTAATTTTCAAAAGAAAAACTAAGTAGCATGTCATGAACAATTATGATCAGACACAGAGCTAAAAGAATGATAATTGGCATACCGTTTCAACAGCATGCTCAAACAGTTCTCTAGCCCTTTCAAGCTTCGACTTTCCATATCTTTTCACGAACTTGGACAAATAGGTTACCCAAATGTCCTTGACATGTGGGTATTTAAATATCTTGACACCTCTTTCATAGACCTTAAAAGCATCTTCAAAGTACTTGTTTTCCTGCGTAAGCTTAAAGATCAGAATCTCAGTCAGTCCACAAAACTATTAAATGCAAGAATGTGTGGAACATGGTGATAAAACCATAAGAAAAATGTCTACCTCCAAAAGGAAGGCATAGTTTATGATGATTTGCGGTATGGCAATTCTTAAGTCCAGTATTCTCTCATAGACTGCTCTAGTTGACTCCAAGGTGCCCAGGCTTTCCTCCAAGTCTACATAGAAAGTCCACAATCTAAGTGATTTGTGCATTTTCATCTGCACAGGTTCATTCCCATCAGCAGCCACTGCAAGCAAAATAACATAGCATTACCAAATCAAGAGTTGTTTGTGATTCCACAAACACTGGTAATGAAAATTCAACTTATTTTTTCCTACACTTAGTGCAAACCAAATTCTCATAGTTACTACTGTTGTCATACCCTCCTCAAAAATATCTCTAGCCTTCTTAAACAAGCTTCTCCTAATGTAATAATCAGCAGGCGAAGTCCATAGCCTTCCTACCTCATCTGTAAACCTCCGTATCCCACCTCTAATTATTGCATCCACATTAAGCCCCGAAACCTCAGTCGCATGTGTTGTAAGCAGGTCACACAACTCCAACCACAGTCTGTGTTTTGTCTTACCTTTTATTGAATAAAAGGTATCATCATTCAAAACAGAAGCTAACCTCTCTGCGGCCTCTTGCCACAGACTTGAATTCACCAAAAACTCAATGAAATCTTCAATGTGAGAAGGATCATACTTCAAGTACCTCCTATAAACCCTCAGTGAGGTCTCAATAGGGATACGCTTTTGGCTCACAAATACCAAATAAGGCTCCCCAATCCTGTCATGCTGAGTCACTGGCAACGCACAGAGAGCCCTGTCAAAAGTCCTACGAGTTCTAGTAATCAACTTCTGTTCTGTCAGGGTTTGCAAGTACATTATCCATATCCTGGGCATCTTGTGCATTGTAACAAGAGCTCTTTCAAACGTATTGTTAAGGGTGTCATACTTGGGGTGAGTAACGGGTAGATTTCTAACAATTTCAAGGCGTTCTCGCAGA